TTAATCCTCAAATCCCCAACCTTGCATCAGATAGGCAATCTACTGTAGGTCTAGTTTAATCTCTATGTAGTAAGAGTTGCAGCGGTGTTTAGTCCCTTACTCTGTCCAATCATTATTGCCGTTCACCGTTTTAAAAACCTGACGATGGGCTTCATGATCTCTAGTCATGCTCGTGGCGGTTCTGTTATTTTCGCTAGCTTGTCACTAGACTCTGCAGTCCAAAAGGTAGCATCTCGGGCATTTCGGTGATGATCTCGTGACCGCTACTGTCCCCTCATCCTTTCGACCCTGTTGTCCGCAATGACCTCCTCCTGTCTTACCCCCCTGTTGATCCTGGAGCAAGTCGGGTGGTGTTACGGTGGTGAGCGGTAGCCTCTGCTGCAATGTGATTTCTCCAATGAAAAGAAGCGTTTCGAACCCTCATACATTCTCATCAACAGTCCTGTCTCATTGTACCGCAACAATCCTATCAACCAAGCTCTTAATTTTTTAGAAGCAGTTTTTTCTCCTACGTATTGCTTTTTAGGGTGGGGGTCCGCTGAACTCTGCCCCCGCTTTAATGGTAGGATTTTTTTCTCACTGCTTCCTCCTTACTTCATCATACATTTCAAAGTGTTGACTAGTATTCTAAAATGACGATAGGTTGGCGGATATTAAATTATCTGCCCACAATACCAAACACCACCGCTGCCTATGTGGTTGTTCACAAAGAGCAGCGTTCATCCAACTTGTATTATTTTTACCACAGCACTAAGTTTGCAATGACGAGGCCTTCCGGGCCTAAAAACTAAATAAAATATATTTATTTATTATTTATTTATTCCGGCGAGCGCCAACATGATCTCCGATATTTGCAAACTTAAATAATACTCCTATTAGAGCCTTTAGTCAGCGATTCCTATCTTTATATCTTCGATTATTAAGTTCTTCCTTCCTGGATATTTAATACTGTTGACGTTTATAGTGTCCTCATCGGAGGTGATTTTATGATTCATTTTGATCTCCTCGTTGATGTCAAGTCCCATAAATTATTTTGATGCGAATACAGCTTTATATATTAAATATTCAACTTGTGACCTCTCATCGCCTGGTCCACGCATTTCAGCAATCGCTTCGTCCATTGTTTGCTTTTGCAATCCATCCGTGCCATAGGTGGAGCCATTCAGCAACAGACACTCACGGGCATCTAACTCTTAGTCTTTTACACTCCCCCAAACTCGTTAAAGCACTTTTTGTGGAAAAATCCTTGCCATTTATTTGGCCACGAAACATTTTCGTAACTATGTCGAAGCAGAGACTTTTATGAGAAGAAGACGACTCAATCGCAGGGACAATACTTTTATTTGTCTGACATTTCGAGATCCGTCGCGGATTCATCATCAGAGGCATAGTCAGAGAGCAGTAGCAGATAGGAATAGGGACAGATAGAGACTTTTCTATTTATATTTTTGGGCCGATTGACAAGGGCTCAGCATTAGCCACCTTCAAGCGGTCGACAGACATCTCTTCAGTGCCAGCGCCATGGGTAATCATAAAATGCTTGCTCGTGCGTGATAGGACTTGAAATGGCCCATGTAGTTAGGTGATCAAGTTCATCTTTCGGGGTCTCTTCATCACTCTGGCACATGATCGCTCGCCATACTTTCATTTCACCTGCAAAAATGACTCCTTCGCAGGCCAGTCCATCCATCCTATCACTGACATATTGAAATCGCAATGGGCTGAGCAGAGAACCTGGACGTACCCTACCTAAAGCTGACACTGACACTAATTTCGCATTGCCAGCGCACACCGACTGTGGTCAGCCGATTAATAAGTCCTCTATCCAAATTAAAAAGTTTCCACTTATCCCAGATGCTGGAACCTAGTGAATGTCGTCGGTTTCAAATTCGAAGATAAGTGAGTGATTTATATGAAACGAATTATCCAAGGGAAAAAAATACTTAGCATTTGCTTTTTTGTATGTATTATTTATTTACTCATTTACTGCCAGTTCACAGGCAAGATCAGAATATGGTTAATAGGTAAAGCGCATTTTGGGCGCCTTCTAAACCCTGGAAGAAAGGAAAAAACCCAAAAGAAACCCCCTCTTTTGCACTCAGTATTGACTATCGTTTAGTTGTGTGCTTGGTCAACAGTGGACGAAATAGGGAGTTTGTCTTGAGTAAAAAACTGATTTCAAAGGTACAATAGTAGCTGTTATTTCCGGCTGAACAAGTTTGGAATTCTCCATATCTCTTCTCCTACGAGACTCCTGTCCGACCTACAAAATGATTGTTAACACTCTTCCGAAGGCTCTCCCCTGCTCCCTAGAACGCTGGCCGCTCTCTATCACTCAAATGCCCATGAGTGAATACTGCCCCCCTCCCCCCGGTCTCGGCCCTTTGTTCACACTT